GCAGAACGTGATAAGAGCAATCACATTATATAATAAACTAGGGCTATGAATAATAAAAATTACAAACATTGATTTGTTACTTGAAAAATAATGGAGAAACTATTTTAAAAGTACTAAAATATTGAAAAATTAAACTCTAAGAGTGACCTACAAAGAATTAGAAAGAAATTAATGTAAGCATAAAAATCCTCTCAATGAAACATTAAGGTGTTGGTCAGAGTTGATTTGTGATATTAAATATATTCATCAGAATACTAAGCCTCTCTATAATTATAGCCATTGACTATCTGACCATTCCCTAATATGCTGCTTTGGAGATAAAATCAGAACCAGTCAACAAAAACTTCACAGGAATCCCCAAAAGCTGTTAAAAGTATTGCATCCAATTTTAGATGCTATGAGAGAGAGAGAGAGAAGGGAGAGAACTCTAAACTTTACACATACATTTAAATTAATAAATTAAAAGAAAAAGTTGTGGTCAACGTTTAAGTTTATTGAACAGGTCATCTTTTAGCAGACTACATGACTCATATGATTGACATCCCTTAATGGCACCACTGTGCTCTTAGAAAAATCCAGTCTCTTGCCATAGCCAATCAGATCTCCACTGGAAAAGCTCCTAGCTACTTACTTGTTCTCATCTCACCTTTAGTCAGACATGATGGCTCCTTTATATTCCAAAATGTCCACTTCTGTCCATTTTGGCTTTGAGATACTTGCTTTTGATAGCCCCTCTGCCTGGAAGACTCTTCCTTCACTTCTCACAACTATCTTCTCATCTTTCAGATTCTGGTTCAAACATTACCTCATTAGGGTGGCTCTGCGTGATCATCCTATGTAAGACTTCCTTCCCCAGTATGTTCGTCCATATTGTGTTGCTATAAAGGAATGCCTGAGACTAGGTAATTTATTTAAAACAAAAGAGTTTTATTTGGCTCAGAGTTCTGCAGGCTGTATAAGCACGGCACCAACATCTGCTTGGCTTCTGGTGAGGCCTCAGGAAACTTACAGTCATGGTGGAAAATGAAGGAGGAGCAGATACATCCAACAGTAACAGAGGAAACAAGAGAGAGAAAGACGGGAGGTCCCAAATTTTTTTTAAACCACCAGTTGTCTTGTGAACTAATAGAGTGAAAACTCGCTCATTACACAAGAAGGGTAGCAAGCCCTTCATGAAGGATCCAACCCCATGACCCCAACACCTCCCACCAGGCTCCTCCTCCAACACTGGGAATCACACTTCAACATGAGATATGGAGAAGACAAACATCCAAATGCTATACCCAGTTACCCTCCAATTATCCTATTCATTTCTTTTTAAAAGTCCAAAACCTGTCACTACTGGAAACTATTAGGTTTTATTGTGCCTTTACTTCTTTATTATCCATTTCCTCACCAGAATGTAAGCTCCATGAGAGTTAAAGTTATACTTTAAACCTAGTGCCTCTTCCTGACCTGAGTAGCTACTAAATAAATATTTGTTGAATGAATCAAAGGATACATTTATCTTTGAAAACAGACTCCTCCTGAATTAAAAAAAAAACTACTTGACTTCATCTTTTAGTAATGTCATAATAAAGAAGTTTTGCAATGGAGTCTTTTGAGAACACATTTTCTGCCAGTCATTTTTACCCATGTCCAAATGAATGGAAGATTCCTTTTCCACTAGAAAAACATTCCCCCACCTAGTGGAAAAGTACTTGACTCCAGAATGCACTGACTACAGGGATTTGGAAGGATCTATAATAGGCTGTCTATGAAGAGTCCATGTAAGAATGACTCATCTTATAAGAGTTGTCATTGAAGACAAATCTGTGAGGGTGTAGGTGCATGGATCAGCATAAATCAGCCAGTAGCCCATCTGGGAATTGTGTTTGCTTGTATACATCAATAACTTCTTTGGGAGGCTTGATTTCAAAGGATATTTTACAGACAACAGTATTAATCCTTAGAATTAGCACAGAGGAAGAGATGAAAGGAGTCCCATTACTTTTGCAACCTGGGTGCCCCAGGCAACCTCTCTGACTTTTTTCACTTTCCACCGAACTCTTGTCCTTGAAGAAAAGCTAATTAGAAGTTAGAAAGAGGTTAAAGTTCTCTGAAAGACAGAATTTCAGAGAATTGGGAAAACTTTTTCAAGCTTGGCAATAAGAAATGGTTTTGATAGCCCTTAAGGTGACCTCAAGTTCACCTTCAAGCAAGATTCTGAGAAAACTGGGGTAAGCCTCAATCTATTTTTACTCAATGAACTGAAAGATAAAAGGAAAGAATGTAGACATTCTGTTGCCTGTCCTGGATAAATCAATAAGGAAACTGCTCTTTTTTGAAAGCTTATATGGGCTTAATGATCCTCAGGACCTGAGTTGAGAATTTAAAATATATATGTATATAATTGTTGCATAGCCCACTCCAAAGTGCCAGTTGCAAATAAAAGATTCAACGAAAATGCATGTGGAATGCTGACTATAAATTATCACTCATATTATCATCATCTAGTCAAATATGTATCTTTTCTGGGGACTATATGCCCATAGGGATTGGTAATGAGATATTGAGACTTTTGCCATTAATATTCTGTCTCAAATTGAGCCTAGCTTTACAGAGGACAAAAAATTGTTGTCATCTCAGTTTTCACTGCCTGCTCTTTGTGAAGAGCCAGGAGGATACTGTCAGAATTGGCTCTAGGGAAAACTGCAAAGTCGAGGTTGGCATTCACTCTTCCTTTCTTCTGTTTGTCACCCCTCACCCTGAGTTTCTCATTTCCTCAGGGTCTTTCTGTTATCCTCCCACCTTCCTGAGGGTTTGCAGTATACTGTCCCAGCAAGGCAGTCCTCTTTGCTGGGACCTCTACCTTCCACTCCTCTTTTTGTGACTGTACTGTGATCCTAAAGCCTTAGAAATGAAGTTGCCTTCAGGGAGTTAAACTCTAAATGAATTCCTAATGGCTCCGAGCAGAGATTAGCAAGTACCTTAAAGCAGTCAAGGGGCTCCCCAGGCAATAAGAATGGACATTAACCAGATTGAAGATATAATATGTATCTAAAAAAAAAGGGCAGGGGAGGATTTGGTCAGCCAAGGAAGTAAAAATCACTTGTCAGGGACAAAATTAGCAGCCTTCATCTAAGCACTGAGCAAAGGTGGAGGCCCTCCTGTCTTCTCATTGTAGTCCTGAGTGGATGCTACCAAATGTCCACATCATAAAACTCCTGCCTCCCATTCCCCCACCTCCAGCTTCTTCCATTCTCTCCAAGCAACTGTCTGATCATTTGACTTCCCAAGTAGCTTGCCTACATGGGGAAAAAATGCAATGATCAAGCCAACACAAATATTTTGCATGTCTAATAATTATGTTTCATATGGAAAATTTACAAGCAAATACCCTGATTATATGACCGTGTGGGATGAGCTATATGGATCCTTCACCTCCAGGATGCTACGAAGTTTCTGAGACTACCAGGCTATTATAGGAGTGTCCAAATGGGACCAGTCCACTGTGGTCCACTGTGGGTTGTGTGTGGAGCAACTGTAGAGAAGTCACAGGGTCTGTAATGAAAAGAAATGCAAATTTCAAACTTATGGGTTGAATTGCATCCCCACAATAAAAACATTAAAGCCAGGAATGATCCAAGATGGCTGATCACTAACATCTCAGGATTGCAGCTCCCAGCGAAAGCGCAGAGAACGAGAGGACGCCACACTTTCAGACAAATTTTTGTCGCTCAAGGAGCAGAAGATTCCCAGTGGAGGAGTGCATGGGTCACCAGCGCGACTCTTGTGGCCGGCGCAGCGGTTTTGCTGGCACCTTGGCGCGGCAGCTCTTGGTGCAGAGTAAATGGGACTGGTTCCCCTTCTGACCGAGGTTTGGAGCTCCGGGAAGGCAGAGTTGCCTATTATGGACTCAAGAAGGAAGCCAGACTGGAGATTCCTGGGCAGAAAAGCACCATCAGTCTTAACGCTGCTGTTTTGGCCGGCGCAGTGGATTGCTCATATTTCGGCCCTGGGAATTAACAACTTGGACGTCCACTCAGAGACCTAATTTGAAAGTTGGTAATTACAAAGACAACAGGAGGATAAATTTACAATGATGGGAAGAAACCAGCGTAAAAAGGCTGAGAATACTCAAAATCAGAATGCCTCTCCCTCTACAGAGGATCACAGTTCCTCATTAACAAGGGAACAAGGCTTGATGGAGAACGAGCGCATCCCATTAACAGAATCAGGCTTCAGAAGATGGATAATAAGAAACTTCTGTGAGTTAAAAGAACATATTGTAGCCCAAAGTAAAGAAACTAAGAACTTTGAAAAAAGGTTTGACGAAATCCTAATGAGAATAGACAACTTAGAGAGGAATATAAGTGAATTAATGGAACTGAAGAATACAATATAGGAACTCCGAGAAGTATGCACAGGTTTAAACACTCGAATTGTTCAAGCAGAAGAAAGGATATCAGAGGTCGAAGTCCAACTTAATGAAATAAAATGAGAAGACAAGATTAGAGAAAAAAGGATAAAAAGGAATGAGCAAAGTCTCCAAGAAATGTGGGACTATGTGAAAAGACCAAATTTACGTTTGATAGGTGTACCTGAATGCAACAGAGAGAATGAATCCAAGCTGGAAAATATTCTTCAGGATATTATTCAGGAAAATTTTCCTAAACTAGCAAAGCAGGACAATATTCAACCCCAGGTAATACAGAGAACACCAGAAAGATGTTCCTCAAGAAGAGCAACCCCAAGGCACATAATCGTTAGATTCACCAGGGTTGAAACAAAGGAGAAAATACTAAGGGCAGCCAGAGAGAAAGGTCAGGTTACACACAAAGGCAAGCCTATCAGACTTATAGCAGATCTCTCAGCAGAAACTCTACAAGCCAGAAGAGAGTGGGGGCCGATATTCAACATCCTTAAAGAACAGAACTTTCAGCCCAGAATTTCATATCCAGCCAAACTAAGCTTCATAACTGAAGGAAAAATAAAATCTTTTGTGAACAAGCAAGTACTCAGAGATTTTATTACCACCAGGCCTGCTTTACAAGAGCTTCTGAAAGAAGCATTACACACAGAAAGAAACAACCAGTATTAGCCTTTCTAAAAATATACCAAAAAGTAAAGAGCATCAACATAAAGAAGAATTTACATCAATGAATGGATAAAACAGCCAGTTAACATCAAATGGCAGTAATCCTAAATTTCAATTGACTAAATCCCCCAATCAAAAGATACAGCCAAAACCCAATGGTATGCTACATTTAGACCCACTTCACATGCAAGGATACACAAAGACTCAAAACAAAGGGATGGAGAAAGATTTACCAACCAAATGGAGAGCAAAAATAAACAAATAAATAAAAAGCAGGAGTTGCAATTCTCGCATCTGATAAAATAGGTTTTAAAGCAACAAAGATACAGTGGTAAAAGCATCAATGCAACAACAAGAGCTAACGATCCTAACACCCAGATACATAGAGACTTAGACTCAATGAGACAGAAAATTAATAAGGATATCCAGGACTCGAACTCAGATCTGGAACAAGTAAACTTAATAAATATTTATAGAGCTCTCCACTTTAAATACACAAAATATACATTCTTGTCAATACCACATCACACCTACTCATAGGTTTAAATGAAATATTGATTAGCCATTATTAATACCCATTTTTTTTAAGAATAAAGCAACATTTCCATTCTCTCTCCATCTTCTTCTTCCTCTTTCTTCCTCTCCTTCACTCCTTTTTTTCTTTCCTTCTCTAAAAAAAACAAAAAACAAAAAACAAAATTAAAGGCTTAGCCTCCCAGTACCACAAAATATGACCTTATTTGGAAATAGAATAATTGCAGAAATAATTAGGTAAAAATAAAGTCATACTGAAAAAGGGTGGAATCTTAATCTTATACAACTGGTGTTTTTATAAGGAGAGGGAAATCTGGACACAGACACAGAGGGAAGACTGCCATGTGAAGTCGGAGGCCAGACTGAGTGATGCTGCCTCCAGCCAAGGAATACCTGGGCTACCAGAAACTACAAGAGGCAATGACAACTTCTTTCTTAGAGACTTGAGAGGGAGGGTGGTCTTTACAACACCTTGAATTTTGTCATCTAACCAGCAGAGCAAATTTCTGTTGTGTAAAGCCACCCAATGTATGGTAATTTGTTATGGCAACCCTAGGAAATGAATACACACATGTAAGATGTTTAGGCAATTGATGGCCTCACAAGCCTGCACTGTATGACGTGAAGTGTTGCAGGACAGAACAGTAAGTCAGACCTTGGGCTCAGTCCAAAGGGAAAGGGGAAGGATAAGGGAATTTCAGATGGAAAGCTGCTGAAGTCCTGCCTTAGTCTGTTTGGGCTGCTATAACAAAATACCTTAGGCTGGGTAAATTATGAACATTTTTATGCATATTTATCCAATTTTCTGTATTTTTATCTCGTTTATTTTCAAGAGGTTCCCAGTCCTTCTGCCCCTTATTTCTCAGAGTTGCAGGGGATGAAATCTTCTTGGCTTCTGTTAACTCCAGGGTCCTTTGCTACACATAAAGCCACATAAAGGCTTTACTGCTCACAGTTCTGAAGGCTGGGAAGTCCAAGATCAAGGTGCCAGCAGGTTGAGTATCTGGTGAGAGCCCATTCCTAGATGGTTACCTCTCTGTGTCCTCACATGGCAAAAGGCAAGCAGCCTTCCTCAAGCCTCTTTTGTAAGGGCACTAATCCCATTCATAAGGACTCTGCCCTCATGACCTAATTATCTCCCAAAGGCTCCACCTCTTAATACCATCACCTTGGGGGTCAGTTTCAACATATGAATTTTGGGGTGACACAAACATTCAGACCATAGTAAGTCCCCTCTCAGAAATAAAGTCTCAAGGCACAGAACCCATCTGGGCCTCTGTTTAGCATGACTGAATGAAAGAAAGGAACCAGGAATTGGAATTTTAAAAGTTTTTAATATCTTTCTGGCTGGGGATGGTGGCTCACGTCTATAATCCCAGCACTTTGGGAGGCCAACTTGGGTGGATCACCCGAGGTCAGGAGTTCAAGACTAGCTTGGCTAACATGGCAAAATTCCATTTCTACTAAAAATATGAAAATTAGCCTGGCATGGGAGCATGCATCTGTAATCCCCACTACTTGAGAGGCTGAGGCAGGAGAATCACTTGAACCCAGGAGGTGAAGATTGCAGTGAGCCGAGATCGAACCACTGCATTCCAGCCTGGGCAAGAAGAGCAAAACTCCATCTCAAAAATAAATAAAATAAAAGTGTTTATTATCTTTCTGTTTTCCTTTTGTGATTAGCAGTGAAATCCTGAAAAGTAACATAAGTAGCAAGAAAGAGGAGTCAAGAGGGGCTGTAGTCTCGAGTTAGGTAACTAGGAAGATGATCGTACCACATAGTCTAGTTTTGGGGAGAAGATTCCCAAAGAAGAGAGATCATGGAGATAGGAAGATAAAACTGGATATTGGTCCCATAGTCTCCCCTTGGCCAGCTTCCTTAGAGGGGGTTCCTGGGAAACTGCTTGAGGATCCCCAGTTCAGTGGTCTCCTGACCAATCTTTTCTTCACTTCCCAAGTCTTACTTATGTCTGGAAATTATGTAACGACTCCCCACATTAATCAAGCCAGAAATCGAGGAGTCATATTTGATTCCTCCCTTTCCTTCACTCTCATATCCCTCATATCAGGGAATCCCACAGAGCTTACCTCCAAATAAATGCCCTTTACTCACCATCTCCACAATCCCACGTTAGTCCAACCTGGTACCATCACTTGCCTGGAGCCCACAACAACCTTCTAATTGGTCTTCTCACTTCCACTCTTCCTCCTTTAATTGTTTCTTCACACAACAGCAAAAGTGATCTTTTAAAAACAGTGATCTGATAATTCCCCGGCTTAAAACCATCCATTTCAATGAAAATTAAACTCTTAACTTTTTGTAATGGCTTACAAAGCATTTTACTATTGAATCCTGCCTCTCTCTCCACTGTCTCCTCAGTGCTAGCTGTGTTGTTCCTTCAGTTTCTTTACCTGAAACTTCCCACCACAGGGCCTTTGCACATACAGTTTCTTTTGACTGGAATATTCTACCCACAGTAGCATGACTAGCTAATATCTGTTTTCAGTTTCAGCTTAAATGTCACCTCAGAGAGCCCTTCCTTGGTTACCGTCATTAGTAGACATGAGTGCATGTCTATCAACCTTTATCTCAGTACCTTATTTGTTTCTTAATAGCAGATATTTAACTTGCAATTACTTGATCTCTCGGTTTTGTCTCTGTCAATATGTAAGTTCCATAGATGTAGGAACCATAGTTATCTTTTCTGCCACTGTATCCCTGGCATATAGCACAGAACCATAGTAAGTATCCAATAAATATTGTTCAAAAGAATGAATATTTAGTATAGGCACAACTGAACAAGGCCCAAGAACTAAAAGTTGGGGGGGCAGGGAGTAGGATGAGGTGGGAGTAGGATGGGGTGGGAGGATGGTGAGAATGATTTGCTGGGGAAAGGATTTTCTAAAATGTGCATGAAGAATAATTTCACTCAGTATGACTATCTGCAATCCAAAATGCTGAAAAAAGTATTATTGGTACATGTTTATTGGGGTATTATTGATAATAGCAAAAAAATTAAATGATCTCTTGGCTATAAGTGGAGAAAATGTAAATTTGTGAAGACACTTCTAGTCACAATATCAAACTTTAAAAAAAAACTTTCTCTCTCTTTTTTTTTTGGAGTTTCTCTCTTGTTGACCAGACCAAAGAGTAATGGCAAGATCTTGGCTCACTGCAATCTCTGCCTTCCAGGTTCAAGCGATTATCCTGCCTCAACCTCCCCAGTAGCTGGAATTACAGGCATGCGATACCATGCTCGGTATTTTCATTAGAGACACGTTGGTCAGGCTGGTCTCAAACTTCTGACTTCAGGTGATCCACCTGCTTCAGCCTCCCAAAGTGCTAGGATTACAGGCATGACCCATCACACCTGGCCAGAACTTTAAAAACTTTCAAAAAAGGTATGTAGAAGCAAATCTCACTGTGGTCTTTATCTGTTATGTAATTTTGTCATATAAAAGGTCAAGTGTTTTTGCACATGTGCATAGGGGTTTTTTTTTATCTCTTTCTTTCTTTCTTTTTCTTTCTCTCTCTCTCTCTTTCCTTTTTTTTTTTTTTTTTTTGAGATGGAGTCTTGCTCTGTCACCTAGGCTGGAGGGCAGTGGCATGATCTTGGCTCAGTGCAGCCTCCACCTCCCAGATTCAAGTCATTCTCCTGCCTCAGCCTCCCAAATAGCTAGGACTACAGTCACGTGCCACCACACCCAGATAATTTTTTGTATTTTTAGTAGAGACGGGGTTTCACCATGTTAGCCAGAATAGTCTCAATCTCCTGACTCATGATTGGCAAGCCTCGGCTTCCCAAAGTGCTTGGTTTACAGGCGTGAGCCACCACACCCGGCCAGGTTTTCTTCTTAATTATTTGTTTTTTATATTTGTGACTTGAAAGAATGACAGATTTATCTTTGGTTAACAATTGTATCTTTTTTTTTTCCTTTGAGACAGAGTCTTGCTCTGTTACCCAGGCTGGAGTGCAGTGGTGCAACCTTGGCTCATTGCAACCTCTGGCTCCTGGGTTCAAGCAATTCTCATGCCTCAGCCTCCAAAGTAGCTGAGATTGCAGGCATGTGCCACTATGCCCAGCTAATTTGTGTGTGTGTGTGTGTGTATACACAACTATATATATATATACACAACTATATATATATATACAACTATATATATATATACACATACATACAACTATATATATATATACATACATACATACAACTATATATATATATACATACATACATACATACATACAACTATATATATATATATATATATATATATATACATACATATATATATATATATAGTTTCACCATGTTGGCCAGGCTGGACTTTAACTACTGACCTCAAATGATCTGCCTGCCTCAGCCTCCCGAAGTGCTGGGATTACAGGTATGAGCAACCGTGCCCAGCCAATAGTATCCTACATTAGTCCTAATGAAACCTAGAGTAGATACATCTTTCTTTCTCTCTCTTTCTCTCTCTCTCTCTCTCTCTCTCTCTCTCTCTCTCTCTCTCACACACACACACACACACACACACACACACAAAATACAAATGGATGCAGAAGTTAGTGGCTTAAAGGCATTGCAACTGCCTTGTAGAGGCCAATAGTATTGTACATTAATCCTGATGAAACCTAAAGAATAAATACATCTTACACACACACACACACACAGACACACACAAAATACAAGTGGATTCAGAAGTTTTCGGAAAGATATTAGTGGCCCAAAGACATTGCGACTGCCTTGTAGGAGGAGGACCTAGTGGTTCTTCCTAAGAAGAACCTAAGCAGTGGAGTTGAAAGTGTGGTCCTGGTGTGCGTTTATAGGCGTGAGCCACCCACCTGGCCAGGGTTTCTTCTTATTTATTTTTTTGTATTTGTGGCTTGAAAGAATGACAAATTTATCTTTAACAATTGTATCTTTTTGTAAATCTTCCTAAGATGGCCTAAGCAGTAGAGTTGAAAGTGTGGTCCCCAGATCAGCAGAAATTAAGACCTACTTAATTAGCAACTCTGGGGGCAGAGGCCAGCAATCTGGGTCTGAACACTGCTTCTGAGTCATTGTGATGCGCGCTAAGGTTTGAGAACCACTGGTTAAAGCAACATTCCGATGATCGGATCTAGGTTTGCTGAAATCTACCAAAGGACGGAAGTTCAGTTTCCACTCTTCGTGGGCAGGGTTGAAGCCAGTTTCCCTGAGGATCCTCTGTAAGGAGAAGAGCCCACTCATCCTTCTCTACCTTGAGCAAGCCTCTGATCCTGCCAGGAGTGGTGAGACTTACACCCCTTAAACTCCTATCTCTTTGGCCAGGGCTCCTCCCCTTTTTTCCGACTGGCTCTTAGGAGGATAGGATTCAACAGCAAAGCCTGCTCAGGTTTTATCCTGACTCTTGTCACTCTGTGTCTCTGGGTAAAAGGCCATTTATTTAATGGGAGAAAGCTGCTTTTAGTGCCTTCTCTGGAACTAATATAGAAGACTTATTTTTAACTCAGAGTAATAAACTCCCTACACCTGTCCTTGAATTAGACGGCATGAAACCAGATCTAGAGTTCCCCAAAGCTAAAACCTCGACTAGCCCCCAGGTCTGCTGCTTCTAATTCAGCACTTTCGTGACTGTACTGTATTCAGTTTACTTTCTACTCACCAGCTCAGTGCTTTACTTTCCACATCTATGAGGTAAGGCCTGGGGAGTCGGGCTGGCTATGAGTATTTATGCAGTTTTGTACTGAAAAAGTCAAAAATATGCTGCCCCAAAATACACTGCTGTGGTGTAATGACTATTTTGAATTAAAGGCACTTTTTAAAAAGCAGCAGGTGCAAGAAGATCACTCTGACCTTCATTCTGTTTCTTAGAAGCAGGGCATAAAACTCCCATGTGAAAGATGTCCTCCCTGTACCAAAAAGAATAACGTTCTTATCATCAAGGACAGGAAATTGAAGCTGAGGGAAATTTGTATAAACCAACCTTGTCAAACTAACCCTTATCTGCCTCATCACTTCTCTAGCCAATTAACTACCACAGCTCAAGCCCCTTCGCCTTATCACATTTCACAACCTACTATTCTTTGTGCAATTCAGTATGTAAGTGATCGACTCTCAACTGCTTCTTTGGGTCTTCATTTTTTAATGAGGGCTCTTGTGCCACGTAAAACTTCTATTGAATACCTTTGTCTGATTGTCTGATTTTCTCCTCTTAATCTACGTTAGGTCAATTTAATCCTCAGGCCCACCTGGGAAACCAAGAAAAAGGAGGTGGAATTTTGCCTCTGCTGCAATAATCAAAGAGGTCATGATGAAGAGAGGGGAGTTGGGATAGGACACAACCTGAGCCAAACTCTGGCCTCTGCCCTGGGGCTGTGTCTTTGAGAAGTGAGGCCCTTTTACAAATACAGATACCTGGGTCACACTTAAGACTAATGAAATAAAAAACTCTAAGAAAGGGGATTGCCATTAACACACACACACACACACACACACACACATACATTAATTGTTGTGTGTGTGTGTGTGTACATATATGTATATATTTTGTTTTTTGTTTTGAGACAGAGTCCCACTCTGTCACCCAGGCTGGAGTGCAGTGGCACAATCTTGACTCACTGCAACCTCTGCCCCCCTAGTTCAAGCGATTCTCCTGCCTCAGCCTCCTGAGTAGCTGGGATTACAGTAGTGCTGCCACACCTGGCTAATTTTTTCTTTTTTTTTTTTTTTTTTTGAGATAGAGTCTTGCTCTTTCACCCAGGCTAGAGTGCAATGGCACCAGCTCAGCTCACTGCAACCTCCCCCTCCCGGGTTCAAGCAATTCTCCCTGCCTCAGCCTCTCTAGTAGCTGGGATTACAGGCACCTACCACCATGCCTGGCTAATTTTTTTGTAATTTGAGTTTGAAATTATTCCTAAGCTTCCTTTACCATACTGTTACTTGTCTAATCCTATCATTGTTATCAAAAGCAAGAGACTGTAGATTTACTCAATAAGGCAGGCTAATATAATCTGATTATCACCAAAAAAAGCACTCATTGGTGAAGTTAAATACTTTCACCAACTTTGAGCCAGCAATAGTGCATTTAAACAATCTTAAAAAATAGTTTGTTTTAAGGAAAAATATTATTTCTATTTCTATTTCCATTTCCATCCTTAAAGTCTGATTACTAAAAACTGAAAAATTCAGTTCTTGTTTTGCAAAGCAGTGAGATTTTGGGTAGGTGGGAGACATTTTCTCCTCCTGGCTTTTCAGCCTTGGCCCTCAAATTAGGAACTTTCAGACACTTGGAAGTGTTGGATCGAGGCTTTTTCCTGTGGTAGAATTTATAGAAGTGCATTGAGCTACTCGCATACATCTCTTCTTAGCTAGCCTATTCACAGGGCACACACATCTTTTATTTCTTCAGGGGACAGGCACAAGGGCAAACCCTACCCCTGCAGACAACTGGTCCTCCAGTGTTTTATCTATCTAGGAGAACTCAGAAAAGAGAAAGAGGAAGGCTGACTTTGTCACAGATTCAAGCCCCTTATTCCAGTCCAGCTTTACTAGCAATAAATCTAATATTTTGACCTCCATTTGACTTTAGGCCTATTTCTCACCTGATTCAGAATGAGCCCCCTTAAACCCTAACAGTTAAGTCAATCTACATGACCAAAATGGCCAGCTTGACTGTCTTATTTGTTGTCATCCTACTAAAGCCACACTGCAAAACATTCACGGCAACTTTATTACCCTAGCTTTCAGTCAGTCTAATAGGTTTTGTCTGAGAGAAATAAAGGCTGGATTAGCAGAGGCTTGGTCATCCTGATTGTTCTCCTGTGTCAAGCTGAGGCTAATTAATTCAGTAGAATGCTGCTTTTGTAATGTTTTATAATGATTCTGGACTGAACACATGAACACAGCTCGAATTGATTTATAGCACCCATGAATTGATAGAAATTAGTTTGTTGATGTTTTGGCATGGGGTAGTTAGAATTGGTACAGTCAAGATTACCTAGAATTCTTCATAAAACTTTACAGTGTGACTTTCACTATTATTCTTACTCGACGGAAAGAAATGTTTGCTTTATTCTTACAAAAGAGATGGGATGCAAAAGTTCAAGTTTTTTTGACTAGAACAATTAATTTAACCTTTTTTTATACTGAGGTGTTTCCACTTATAAAAGAAACTACCCAAGTCATCCTATAATCATTGCTACCATGGGACTTGTTAATAGATTACTCAGTAGCTGCAAAACTAGTATAATATTAATGAAAATTTGTGCCAAAAATCCATAAGATGGAATTTTAAAATGTATGATAAACTTAGATGATCTGGATACATAAATATATGTAGATAGAATTGAAGACATTGCCTTTATTCCAGCAGCTGCAAATTAACATTTAAAATAATGACTCACCTTTCTTCTTAAGACACTGATATGGTTCTAATGCTTCTTAACAATAACCTTAAATTTGAATCTTGTGATAAAGCTAAATTTCTCAGGTTTTGAATTCTGAGGACTGCACTCAGAAGAAAATCGGATGTTTTCAGCCACAAAAATTGATTAAAAGAAATTTCTGGGAAGAGAATATATTGATAGAAATTATAGAGTCAAAGATTTAGATAAATTTATGGGCAAAAGACTTTTTAGTGTCCTCAGCCTACATGATTAATAATTCAGAGCCAAATTTAGGGGCACTCCACCCAGAAGAAATTACATTATCCAATTTCTGTTATGTTATCCTGAAGTGTAAGCAGCAAGCTCATTAAAAATGAATGAGGTAATCAGACAAATTCTATGACTATGCGTGAGTCTCTCATTAATGTTTTACTAGACAGCATTAAGAAAGACTAAATAGACTGCACTAGATCTAGATGTAATAAATGGACTTCAAAAGCAAAGCGACTCAATGACCTTCCAGTAAACAGACTTGAAAGAGAAAGGATGAAGGATTTTAGAAACCTATCAGCTACACTTTTTGGCTGCATCTACAATGGAAAAGTGAAATGGAGTATGATCAATTACCTGCTTAATTTGATGAATCAACAGGCCAGGTTTAAGCATTACTTTGAAGCCTGAAGTAATGGATTGAGCTGTTATTAGCAGGTTAAAGTCCCTAACACTCCCTTTACTAACTATTGTTTGACTAGTGCACAGTTTCTAAGCAGTAACAGTACGGGTGTTTTGGCCTGGGTAATTCTGTTCAGGGGTCTGTCCTATGCATTGCAGGGTGTTTAGCAGCACCCCTGGCCTCTACTCAATAGATACTAGTAAATCGCCCAGCTGTGACTACCAAAAATGTCGCCATACATTGCCAAATGTCTCCTGATATTTATAACAGAGCGTGGTGAAAGGAGTCATAACTGTTAAAGAGGCAAAGAATTCCAAGAGTACAAATATCCCATTTCCAATCAGAGTGGGAGGCTGTGCAAACCATTAAATGAAAGGATTAACTTGCAATTATTTGGTCAATTTGGACTTTGCAGACAAACTGGTTAATTCAGATCAAAATTTTTTCTTTGGGTTTTGACTTAATAAGATTGGCATCTAAATTAACTCAATTAGTGGACTTACTACTAGGCGTATTTTAAATTTTGACTTGAGGTTTCAAGCTCAGAAATATCTCAAGTGCAATGATCAGGGGCTCAGAAACAGATGGAGCTGCTGCCTCATTAGCGTGATTGTATTTGGGGGATTTAGTTACTATGAGCACACGCAAATAAACACACACACATTCCTCTAAGAGTCCTTTCCATTGGTTTCTGGTTACCTGGTTTTTGCTCTTATATCTACATCTCTTCTCCCCTTTGCATAAAATCATTCCAACTTGATTTACCAGATAGCTTGATAATTGAAAGTGTGTGCTTTAGAGTAGATAAAATTGTGCTTGAATTCTGACTTTATGATTAATCAGTCCTTCACCATGTTAAAAGAAAAAAAAGGATCAGTCATAATAGTACTTCCAAGGTTGTGAGAATTACATGAACTGGTTAGGAGGTGTCAGGTCCTTGACTACGCCAAATGTCACACTGAGCTGAGCTGAGCTGAGCCATGC